ACCGGTACTAAAGGGGTACGTTGCGGTGCGCAAAGTTTAGTCCCACCTCGCCGGGCGAAGGGCAGCCGCACTGGTTTATAAACCCAGTCGCGGCTGCTCTATCGAACTCCTCTATAAACCAGACTCATGGGCCTAACTATGGCGCGCTGTCCTGTGAGCCTGCTGGGCCTTGTGGGCCTGAATTTACAAGCCCAGGGCCTAGCAGGCCCACTGGATAGCGCACCAACAATTTTTTATATTTTTTCTTTTCTGCTTTATTTATTTTTGAGTAGTTTTTTTACATAGTTTTTTTCTTTTCTTTTCTGATTTATTTATTTTCTTCTATTTATTTGTGAGTAGTTTTTTTTCTTTTCTGCTTTATTTATTTTCTTCTATTTGTTTCTGAGTAGTTTTTTATATAGTACGAAACCCTGATACTCTGAAAGAGATTGTCCAGTTTGTACACGAAGGGCGTCTAGTTTTTGCCGTAACCCTCTCTACTCTTTTGCACATGCTATGTGGATGAAATGATGATACCATGCCAAGTTTCAACATTTTCAGAGTTTATTTTGTAGTGATTTTCAATTTCACGGTCATTTAGCTCTCTAAACAAATCGGTAAATGTCTGAAAAAGAGCAAATGATGTCAGAAAGGGTTAAAAATTGATGACGTCGCTTTGAATGTTGCATACGAAACGCAAAAAAAGTCTGGAGTTCAAATAAGTTTTAAAAAATGAAGTAATCGTGTAATAGACGAGTTCTCGTCCGAAACCCTGATACTCCGAAAGAGATTGTCCAGTTTGTACACGAAGTGCGTCCAGTTTTTGCTATAACCCTCTGTACTCTTTTGCATATGCTATGTGGGCGAAATGATGATATCATGCCAAGTTTCAACATTTTCAGAGTTCCTTTTGTAGTGATTTTCAATTTCATGGTCATTTAGCTCTCTAAACAAATCGGTAAATGACTGAAAAAGAGCAAATGATGTCAGAAAGGGTTGAAAATTGATGATGTCGCTTTGAATGTTGCATACGGAACGCAAAAAAAGTCTGGAGTTCAAATAATTTTAAAAAATGAAGTAACCGTGTAACAGACGAGTTCTCGTCCGAAACCCTGATACTCTGAAAGAGATTGTCCAGTTTGTACACGAAGTGCGTCCAGTTTTTGCCGTAACCCTCTCTACGGTTTTGCACATGCTATGTGGGTGAAATGATGATACCATGCCAAGTTTCAACATTTTCAGAGTTCATTTTGTAGTGATTTTCAATTTCACGGTCATTTAGCTCTCAAAACAAATCGGTAAATGAATGAAAAATAGCAAATGATGTCAGAAAGGGTTGAAAATTGATGATGTCGCTTTGAATGTTGCATACGGAACGCAAAAAAAGTCTGGAGTTCAAATAAGTTTAAAAAATGAAGTAACCGTGTAACAGACGAGTTCTCGTCCGAAACCCTGATACTCTGAAAGAGATTGTCCAGTTTGTACACGAAGTGCGTCCAGTTTTTGCCGTAACCCTCTCTACGGTTTTGCACATGCTATGTGGGTGAAATGATGATACCATGCCAAGTTTCAACATTTTCAGAGTTCATTTTGTAGTGATTTTCAATTTCACGGTCATTTAGCTCTCAAAACAAATCGGTAAATGAATGAAAAATAGCAAATGATGTCAGAAATGATTGAAAGTTGATTACGTGGCTTTGAATGCTGCATACGGAACGCAAAAAAAGTCTGGAGTTCCAATAAGTTTTAAAAAATGAAGTAACCGTGTAACAGACGAGTTCTCGTCTGCAACCCTCATACTCCGAAAAAGATTGTCCAGTTTGTACACGAAGTGCGTCCAGTTTTTGCCGTAACTCTCTCTATTCTTTTGCACATGCTATGTGGGTGAAATGATGATACCATGCCAAGTTTCAACATTTTCAGAGTTCATTTTGTAGTGATTTTCAATTTCACGGTCATTTAGCTCTCAAAACAAATCGGTAAATGAATGAAAAATAGCAAATGATGTCAAAAAGGGTTGAAAGTTGATTACGTGGCTTTGAATGGTGCGTACTGAACGCAAAAAAGTCTGGAGTTGTAATAAGTTAAAAAAATGAAGTGCCGGTGTAACAGATGAGTTTTCGTCCGAAACCGGCCCTGATACTTCGAAAGAGATTGTTCAGTTTGTACACGAAGTGCATCCAATATTTGTCGTAACACAAGAAGTCCGGAGTTGTAATAAGTTATTAAAAATAAAAAAGAGACACAATGCTTGTTAATTAGCTTCAAGCCTTTCGGGATAGTGTAGACTGCACTGCACATAGCTCCGTGCAGTCTATGCTATTCTGAAAGGCTTGAAGCTAAGCAACGTGCAGGTGAGCATTGCGCCTCTCCTTCATCGTCTGTGCACTCACGGCTTATAAACCGCTCCTACTGCCTCTCTCTTCGCGAGGTGGGACTAAAAATCAGCTTACTAAGAAACTCTAGTACCGGTTCATGCCATGAACCGGTACTAAAGGTGTTCATGGGGCCTCAGCCTGACCACAGCCTGACACAACCTCATTAGTACCGGTGCGTGACATGAACCGGTACTAAAGATTGCCCATGAACTGGTACTAATGATCTCCGCCCGCAGCCATTGGAACCGGCACTAATGGACACATTAGTGTCGGCTCAAATTCAAACCGGCACTAATGTGCTTCACATTTGATCCTTTTTCTACTAGTGAAAGCCCCCCTAATTTGTCCTGGGATTGCGGGAAAAAGTGCGCCTGGGCCGCCGAGCGGACTGATATAGGATCGCATTGGATGATAGAACACGTCCAGACTGCCCAGTTCAAATGTATGCGGGCAGTTTAAGTGCCCGCGTTGGAGATGCCCTTACTTGCTAGTACTTTGCACTATTCATAGTGTAGGCATGCATTCATCCTACCTTACACCAAGTAAAAGAGCCTTTTAATTCTATGATGATCACGTAACCTCTCAGGCATTTCTAGCCAAAAATAAAACACTGTGCCGGATTGGCTACTTATTTTATTGGAGCAGTTAACGTAGCTGGTGCGTGAGCAAGTTATATTCATGTTTTGGAGGGCATGGCACCTGAGGAATGACTTGATCTTTGGTAAGGGAAAGGAAACTATCTCTACCTCTGTGAGCTTTATTCAAAACTACTGGGGGTCCTTCTCGTCCTGTCATACCAATAGGATGATGGAGGTTACCAACAAAGGTAAGGAAAGGGTCAATGGGTTTTATGATACCATTGAAGTGAAAGAAAAAGTTGTGAATTGGCAGCCACCCGACCCGGAGTCCATTAAGATTAATGTTGATGCAAGCTTTGTGGAGGCCATTAGCTCTCCGAGTGTGGGTGTGGTTGCCATGAATCATTTGGGAGAAGTGATCATTTCTTCATGGGATTATATTGGGGTTTGCAATAGCGTGGATGAAGCGGAACTTAGAGCGACCCTCGCAGGGTTTACATCGGTATTACTCTACACAAGCCCATCATCTTACAAACTGATTGTTCTTTTGTGGCTTCCTTTCTAGGAAATGATTATTTGGACAGGTCTTCCCTAGCTGATCTGAAGATGGAAGCATTGAGCATTTCCAGGTTGATGACAAGTTTCAAGATTTGCAAAATTAACAGAAGGGCAAAATGGGTGCGCATGAAATAGCTAAATTCAGTTTTGTTAATAGGTTTGATGGTGTGAGTCTTAATAGTGTTCTGCCCTGCGTGGCTGAAGTTGTAATAGTCGATTGTATGAACATTTTTATTTAATTAATATATGGGAGGAGTTTTCAAAAAAACTAAACACTGTGACAAATAGTGGCAACCTTAAGTACACCGACCAAAGATACACTTAATTATTTCTCATGCCTCTCATCAAAGTTCATCTCATCTCATACATGCATGTTAGCCAACTTTAAATCTTCTTTTAACAATAAGAGGATGCTTAAATCTTAATACCACCATTGAACAGTAGTAACATGGGGCGGCTTATTGCAACAGAAAATCAAGCCAACACTAATATTCATGTTAGAAGAGATCCTCATGAATTTGTTTGGGACCAAATTTCATGGAAATACCTAATTTCCTCACGCATCACCCTTCACTCAACGTCTATGCAACATCATTGATCGATCATCAATGGGTCACTCACTTGTACACACAGAACAGGAAAAAAGAACAAAGTATGTGAACATACATTAGGATAATCTGTAATTTAATTCAAATGAAATGAGAAATGGATGTTGTTCTAGAGCGACTCAACAGTGATTCAGAGCCGATCGATGGAACCGGGTTGCAGGTGTGCCTGAGCAGCATGACCACCTCGATGAACTATCTCACGCCCAACAAAAAATCGTCGATGAGTTGCTTCTATGAGAGGGAGGGGGCATCAACCCTCTTGGCGCTACATTGCTACATGAGAAGAGGGCTATGTTGGGGAAAGTATAACAAAGGATATATGCATGCTTACACCTCTCTTTTGCCTATACGGAGGAGACAAAAAATGAGCGTGCTCTCATCAAAGTTAATTATTTCATGAGAGACAAAAAAATGACTAGCTAAACACTAAACATTGTGACAAATAGTGGCAACCTTAAATACACCAACCAAACATACACTTAATAATTTCCCATGCCTCTCATCAAAGTTCATCTCATGTTCATCTCATACATGCATGTTAGCCAACTTTAGATCTTCTTTTAACAATAAGAGGATGCTTAAATCTTAATACCACCACTGAATAGTACTAGCAACATGGGGCGGCTTATTGCAACAGGAAATTAAGCCAACACTATTGTCCATGTTAGAAGAGATCTTCACTAAAATAAGAGTAACACAAGACGCTCCATTAGAAACTATAGTAGATCCACATACAGACCAAAGCAAAATATACTAGCAGCTAGCTATATATAAGGACTTTTTCCCCTTGTAGCAACTAGGTAGAGATAATAACTATAATTCGCCTTGCCGGAATCTCCTGCGCGGCACGCTTGACCCAACACGTACACAGCATCGGCGAGCGATCTTCAGCGAGTCACTCACATCTGCACACGAAAATAAGACGTGAAAAACATGTAGTAGATTACAACGACGTAGAAATAAATTAAAATCTAGGCGGAAATGGTACAATTAATTAGTGTTTGGTCAATTAACTTGGCTAGTGAAGGAGAGGGCACGTAGACAGAGAGAATGAGTGGCACGTACCAGGACGTAGTACCAGGCGCCGTTCTGGAGGGGCTCGGCGGTGACCCCGGCCCCGTCGACGGGGATGGCCTCGCCGGACTGCCCGAGCAGCACGGCCGCCGGACCGAACAGCGCCTTCACGTCCATGCGCGCCATCGCCGGCACGCTGTAGCATTGCACGGGGGCGCCCGGCCGCCCGGCGGCCACGGTCACCACCGTCGCCATTGGCGCCGGCGCGCCTCCTCCGGTGAGCAGCCCGGCGTCCAGCAGCCCTGCTCCACCGCAAAACAGAAGTACCAAAAATTAATCTAACGTGCAACCACTGCAACAAAAAACTGGCACGATTTATGACCTGCGTATACGATGGAGAACCAAACCCTATGGATGTATATGCATGTGTAGTTGTGTATGCAGTGCAGGAGGAGATCCAAGCATGCAGGCAGAGGCATCTTCTTCTGACCCGGAGGTGCCATGCACACGTCCAATCTCGGAAGCGACGCCACCATTGTGATGTGAGAAGGATTCAAGAACGAAGCTACAGCTAGCATTCAAGTGATCTGCTTGCTTGCTTGGAGACCGAGCTATCTATCGGAATCGGAGTAGCAGTTTTTTGACCGCCGTCGCCTCAATCCTCTCAACAACGTACGCGCTCCAATTAAACCCTCCCGATCGATCGGTGCATCCATCAGAGGTTTTGCACGGCTTGGGAAGAAGCTCTGCCGTGACATGACCATACAGGCAGATCGATCAGTAACTGTTCTCTGAAGATACCCGCCTGCCTGCCTGCGCGCGTTCCCTGGGATCCCAAGCCAGTGCCAGCTTTCGTGCTGGAAAGCTTTGTGTGCAGGGCGTGATCTACCCCTTCCTAAGATCGCACGCACAATGATGGATGCAAACAATGTCTAGGATCTATGGGAGGGAAAAGTAGTAGAAACGTTGTCTTTCCTAGGGTTCATGCACAACGATGAAACAAAAACATTGCCCTCAATTCATAGGAGAAATGGAGGAAAAACATAGTGTCACTATTCTTCCATTTGATTCAAATATATGGAACACAGGGGAAATAAATAAAGAGAAAGAATCTTCCTTTGTTTGAGTTTCGAATATCCTATCTGCCCAAACATATACTCCCCCGTTTTTATGTACTCCGCATATTAGCTTTGGCCTTAGTCAGACTTTATAAAGTTTGACCAAGTTTATCGAAAACAGTCTAAAGTTTCACAATAACAAATATATATTGTATGCAAATATATTCAATGATATTCTAATGGTATTGATTTAGTATAAAGTTGGTCAAAGTTTACGAAGTTTGTCTCGAGACAAAACTAACATGTGAAGTAAATAAAAATGGAGGGAGTATTTTTTGTTTTACATTCCTATCAAGAAAAACAAAGCAAAGGCCATAGATTGCATACTAATTAATCTTACTTTTGCATATGTTATTACCTTGATTTCACTACACTTTGTAGGATTCATGTGTTTTTCCTATTATCAAGAACCAATGTCAGTTCCGCAGAATTTCTATATTTTTCACAACTATCATATATTGTGCTCGCGCATTCCTATCATATTCATGTGTTATTACCACTAGGCCTGCGGTTTTAGAATCCGGAAAGGCAGAGCTTAATTTGTCATAGTAGTTCCATCTTTCAAGTACTTCTTTTGCATCAACATACTTAAACTACTACTAGCAGATTTTCGCCTAAACTTCTTGCCAAGTAAATATATGTAGCTATAATAGTAACAATCTCCACTATATATGGATGATTTGATGCTTTCCCATCAAGCTAGACAATGAAGAACACAATTTCAAAAAAAGAAAAGAAAATGAAGTACACGCATGGATCGACACGTCGCTTGGCTCACAACAACCATGTCATGTCCGCGTCCCTACGGACACCAGCTCACAATATTTTGGCACATTCAAGTTCCTACAGTTGGGAGAGCTGACAGGTTCCCCTATCCTTGACATGGAAGTGTCCCTGTGCAGGCGTCAACAACAGCATGCACATACTCACAAAGCCATGACAGGATAGGTCTCTCTTGTACATGGCCTAACCTTGTCCCCTTGCCTGCAGCACGCTGGGTCTTTGGTACGCACCACGCATGCATGCATCCGATCGATCGATCGATTGGAGCTATGTGTGCGTACTACGTACCATGCATGCAATGCAATGAAATGCAAGCTGCTAGCATGCAGCGGGAAAGACATGTCGTCGTCCGTGCTAATCTATGGATCTATGTGCCGTGTTGTACTCTATGATGGAAGTGGCAAGTGCTCGGCTTTCTCCATTGGTGTCAAGCTCTGCTAGAGCCAAGCTTTGCATGCAGCGGCAGGTAGATCGAGACAGTGACAGGGCAGGCGCAGCTATGCATGCACACGCTAAGCTCTGGCAAACTATCATGGTGTACCGTACCGTACGTATGTGAGCAGCTAGCAATGCATGGCGGATTATGGGTGGAATGATCGATGAAAACGTGCTACGTAGGAGTACATTCAAATTACTGGCTGATGAACAGTTGAGCATAGTACCTTGCAGCTGATCGGTGGATGCAGAGCTTGCGGCGGCGTTGCCGGTAGGCGGAATGCATGGGAGGGCGGCCGCACTGACGTCCGCGCCGGCGGTGGCGCCGAGGCCGTAGTGGTGCAGAAACCCCAGCCTGACCTTCTCGTCGTCCTTAATCACGGCGCTCACCGCGTCGGAGGGTGGATCCGCCGCGACGTTGAAGTGGTACTGGCCGCCGACGCCGAGACCCGGCTTGGAGCAGCTCATGTCGTCCACGATCTCGTGCTGCTCTAACGCCGAGTCGGTGCAGAGGCCAGGCAGGAGGAGCGCGCCAGGGGAGACCGCCGTCGGTTGCGTGTGGGCATGCGAGCCGAGGAAGCCGCCGAGCTCGGTGGCCGGCAGGTACTGGCTCTGGCTCTGCGGCGGCCACTGCAGGAGGTGCGGCGGCGGCTCGGGGGCGGAGGTTACCAGCTCGCACGCCAGTGTCGGCGTCGGCATCGACGTCATGGGATGGTTCTGCAGCTGGTAGTAGAGCTGGCACGTGGAGAGCGCAGGCGACGGTGTCAGTGGTGGTGCCGGGGCGAACAGGTCGATGGCGGCGGTCGTCGACAGCGGTGCCATCGGCTGGGACAAGGAGGCTGCCGCAGCAGACGCCATGGCCGTGGTCTTCATGGTCACCGACCTGCTGGATCCGGAGGAGCGGTCGGAGGAGGATGACGACGAGGATGTCGGCGCCTGGAGCGTGCCGGACGGCGCGAGGAAACGCCTCGGCGGCGTCACGGGAGCCGGCGCAGGCGTCCTCACCGCTAGGGACGCGCGCATCACGGCGGCGCGGCCGCCGGTAGGCTGTTGGCCCTGGGCAGCGGCTGCGGCCGCGGCGGCGCGGAGCTTGTTCTTGGTGCGAGACTTGCGGTTCTGGAACCAGTAGAAGACGTTGGCGTCGGCGACGTGGCCGTACTCCTGCAGACGGAGGCGGATGCGGCGGATCTCGTCGCGCGGAGGGTTGACGACGCCGGAGTTGAAGATCCCCTCCAGGATCCTGATCTGCTCCGGCCGGGGGTTCCACCGCGGCTTCGTCTCCCCCGGGCTCCTTGTGGTCTCCTGGTCAAGCCCTGCCATTTAGCATCCACAAACCGATCAGATCAGCTCGTCAGCAAACCCTAGCTTCTCTACACGCACACAGATCATGCAACAAGCTAATAAAAAACATGATATCCCGATGCAAAATTGCAAATCATGCGAGAGGACGAGGGACGGCGACGGCATATACCTGAGGAGATCAAGGAGGGTCTGGTGTGGGTGTTGCTCATGTCAGGCTGGTGGTGGAAGTCGCAGGCAGCAGGGTTGGACCTGAACATGCTCGGCCAGTGCTTGTTCGAGGACGCCATGGGTGAGCAGATCGAGCTAGCTGCGGCTGCGACCGATGATGTGATCTGAGAGTGGTAGTTGCTTCGATCTGTAGAGGAGCAGTAAGGAAGAAGAAGAACCCTATGGATCTGGCTATGGCTCTCCCCTCCTCACCCTCAGCGGCTGCTTATAATGGCGTGGCGCCCTTGCGGCCTCGCCTCAGCGACCTACCCCAGTCTGTGAGCAGTAGTTAATGTCACCGCCCATGTCATCCTTCCTTTTGTTTTGCTCCCTTGGACTTGGGCATGGATCCATGTGTGTGTGTGAATGGGATGTGGATGTAGCAGTAGGCTAGTAGTAGCAGCAAAGTTGCATAGGGAGGGGAGGAATATTAAAGGGCGCTAGACTGGTAGTAGTCCTACTGCTCATTACTCATGGATGGATGCTTTGCTTTGCTTGCTTGAGATTGACTGCACACTGTTGAGGTGTTGAAGTGGAAGAAGGTGCAGTCACTACTGATTTGATTCTCTCTAGATTGCCTAGCAAGGAATGCATGCATGGCATGCAAAAGTACTGCCTTTCTGCATGGCCTTGTATTAGCAGTACTAGTAGTACTTTTGCACCGGAGACTATGATGTGGGCATACTAATTACTCCCTCCTTCCATCTATATAGGGCCTAATTTGTTTTTAAAGAACCGCCTTTGACTATTAACAAGATTAATATTACATAACATGTATAATGTGAAAATTATATCATTGGAAGCTCCTTTCACATATGAATTTGATAATATGCTTTGTTTAAGTTGCATGTCATATATTATTGCTCTAACATTTGGTCAAAGTTAGCCTCGAAAAACGCATTAGGCCCTATATAGATGGAAGGAGGGAGTAGTATACAGTAATAATGATGGAGTAACACATGGTCAAACCATATAAGTAGGGCTGGTTTGGTTCATAGGAAAAGAATAGAAATGGGAATTTTTTTCTAACGACATTATTCATTCCTTTGGTTCAAAGGAGTGGAGTAAAGAGAAGTAGAGACGGAAAATAGAATATTTGATCTCACTTTCAAACTTGAGAAAGGTGTAACAGCTCCCGGGAGAAGGAATTTTACAAAGTTAAAAGGCAAGAATTTTACAATTCCTACTCACAAGGTAAGATACTAGAGTCCACGGCGGCATAATGTTATAACAACATGTTAATTATACTTTTTCAAGACTATGATTAGTAAGACCCGTATGTTTTCCTAGCCCTATGAACCGAAGACCCAAGTTGACAGAATTCTTGTGCTCTCAACGACCCTTTATTTTTTTGATTGCATTCCTGCATTTTTACTATTGATACATTCCAAACATGCCATAAAAATATAGTGACTATAGTTTAGTCAGTTTTAAATTAGTAGTTATTTCTTATTCAATTCCTGATGATCGCCCGAGCAAGATATTCTCGTCACTTTGCACATGCATGAATCCATTATGCCAATGCCAAATGGTTCTTGGTAATGACATTAAATTAATTGATTATTAGTCGCCTCCAAATTAGCAAAACTTCCAAAATAAAGTAGTCAAATAAACTACAAAAGGAAAAATATTATATTTTGCAACAAATATTAAATGAATTACACACGGTGATGATAACTAAACGTGTTGTCGCCCTGTGTGCGCATTATGCATTGAGCTATAGCTCAATGTCATTTTGTTAAAAATCCATGCTTGCTTTTCCAGAAATGTATTAACATGGTTTCGAGAATTCCAGAATACAAGTCAGACCAATATTTCCATAGCAATAGTGGAGAAAAAACTTAGGATCCTATGCTAATAACATTCATTCAAAGGAATGGGTCACAAGAAAATGCAGGGATTTTTTTCCTTTGGTTTGGATTTCATGGGGAAAACAAAGGAATTTTAGGCTTATTTGGTTCGCATGATTTTAGTAACACATGAATAGGAAAAACTCAGAATTGGAGTGACATGTCATGTCGAATCCTATAGGATTAGTTAATCACGGGAACTTGGAACAATGAGTGTTTGATGCCACAGGAAAAAAATAAAGGAATTGTGCAAAGAGGTTCGAGTGGATGAAAATTTCCGTCAAAATAGAATTCCAAGCGATCCTTAGGGATTTTCTATAAGGATTTCAATCATACGATCATACAACGTGTGCACGAAAAATTATTAGGATAAGAATCCTCTAAAATTACTATAAAGTTCATTTGAATCAAATGAATTGTAAAGGGAGTTTGGAATGGATGAAAAATATCCTCTAAAATAGAGTGCAAAGCAATCCTTGCCTTGTTTTCCTAGGTGCTTGGTTTGATTCATAGGATTGGAATCCTTAGGAAAAGTTCTCTTTTCCTAAGGATTGCTTTGCACTCTATAACAAAGGAACCCGGAAAATATAACATTGATCTAATATTACCTTTGCACGTGTTTTAATTTAAATTTGATCGTGTCTTTTCAGATTCATGCATGTGTTTTTCCTATTCCTGCAAATCAAACACACAATTATGCAAATTCCTTTGTTTTTACAATCATATTCTTGTGCTCATCTTGTTCCCATGTTTTAACAATCCTGTGAATCAAAGAGGCCCTAAGTGCTTGTTTGATTCATAAGAAAACTAGAATAAATGTATACAAATAGGAACTTTTTATTTAACAACATTATTCATTCCTTTGTTCAAAGGAGTGGAGTAAAAAAAGGTAGGGAAAAGAAATCTTTGATCTTACTTTCAAAGTTAAATGGCATGAATTTTACAATTCCTATGCATGAGGTATGCGACTGGACTCTACATTGGCATAATGTTATGCTAACTTGTTAATTATACTTTTTCACTTGGTTTTACTATGCCTATATTTAGTACTCAAGTTCTTACATGTGCTCTCGATGGGGTTCATCCTCCGAGTAGGATTCATGTGTTTCACTACCCCTATGAGCCAAGCACTCAAGTTCTTACATGTGCTCTCGATGGGGAATCAGGGAAGAAATGTTGTAGTCAATGACAAGCAGGGCCTACATGTAAAGAAGAATATGAAGGCCCATTATGATGACTCTGTGTTTGCGGTTTGCCTTGGCAACCTCCATATCCATATGAAGAATGCTCCATATGCGGTATGGAGGCTGCCCATAAGGAGACTATTAAAAGTTGCTTAGCATAGTCTCCATATGGGATATGGAGTGCGCTCCTTATGAATATGGAGGCCGAGGCCGCTATGCGCAAACACAGAATCGCCAAAATGGAAACCTCTGTATTTTTCTTACATGTGCGCCCCATTTTGTCATTCAGACTTCAATTCAGTTTCATTCCCAACCTCAACAATGAAAGTTTCTGTACCATATTTCAACATCGATTTTCACTAGAATTTCAACATGGATTTATAAAATTGATTTGAAGAAGGATTACAACTAAGATTCTATGTTATTTGAACTACATGCATTTCCTCCTATTCAAAGTGACCTCGCAGGTGGGAGGGGGGCTTCGCCTGCCACGACTTCCATGACCATGTGGCCGACGAACGCGGTGCGTCCTGGATGCGGGATAATGCCACATCAACCTTAATAATCTTGAAGGCCGGCATGAGCACGATGTCCATTTCTGCCATGGCGGCCACCGACATGCAGTCGAATTACTCGAAGGAGGCGCGTAGGCGGGCGTGGCCGACAGCTGATTGAGCCTTACGGTGCACGTCGTCCTCGACCCACTTCGAGTAGTGTCACACCTCTTCTAGATTACTCTCTTAGTGCAGTCCTCTTTCGTCCTGCTTGCGACAGGTCCGCAGGGAGGGCGCGACCGCACAAACATGGTCGATGGGGTTTAGTGTGGCGGCAATGTGGAAGGTGGAAGATGGCTGCGAGGTGGTGTCCGGCGAAGGGGGCGATGGGGTGATCATGGCGGCGATGGGGAAGGAGGAAGAGAAGGGCATCTGGTTGCGCCGAAAATTAAGGGGGGGCGATGGGGGTCTATATACCCGCAAATGTGCACGCTCTAGCGGGAAACAAGGGTGGATTTTTCAACCGAGATACCATATTGGCGATCCAGTCGTGCTAAGGCTCAGTCGACTAAGACTTCGTTAAGTCTCAATCGGTGCTATATCCATAAAATTTACATTGAGATCAATGCAAAAAAAAATACTTTTCTGTTTTTTATTTTTCTCTTTTGCATGTTATGTCACTTTTTTTTTGCGAGGGTAGCATGTTATGTCGCTTGACTGAGACTTGGTTAAATCTCAGTCGACTGAGACCTAACCACACTCTTGACGATTATTATGCCGATGAGTTTGATATGACGACTCTGTAGAGTTGCTCTTAGTTCACCCGAGTTCCATCCACCAGCCCTGCCAATGGCATTTTTTTCTTTCGAAACGCTGAATGGCATTTTCAGTTGAGCGTTGCAGGACATGGATCGGTTTTGCGTTCTCCTCCCTGGTCGCACGTACGGCCTCGGCCACGCACGCCTGGGTTGGGTTCAGCAGGAGAAGTCCGTCCCGTGACGTACCGGCCGGCCGATCACGCGAGGGAAGAGGATGGCGCGTGCATTATTGTAATGGGATGCAGTTGGTGCGCAGACGAGCGCAGAAGGAGCAGCAGTAAATGGCACGTACGTGCGGCCGGGGAATACGACGGGAGCCCGTGCGGATGCGTGTGTCGTTTGCTCAAGAGTTAAGTCGGCCGATCGGGGAAGACGAAGACCGGGGGAGCGGCCGGAGACCGGGTTTCGATAGGCAGCACTTGGGCGGCACGTACAGCGCGCGCGCGGCGGCATTGCATGCGCAGCGCACGAGCTGGAGCGTGATCACTCACGTTTGCTGGTGCGCGTGCGGAGGTGATCGATGAACTGGACGCGCCCATCGGCATGGATCCGTGGTTTGTGCCCAGCATCCTGCATGCCCGCGGCGGACGTGTGCCGTGACGCCGTGTGGTACAGCTAGCGCGAGCTGCCGGCGAGAGAGCATCGGTCGGCGCGGCTTAATTTGTTTAGGCGTCGTCCGTGATGGGTCATACTGGTAGTATACTATGCGAGCACCGGCCCCGCCGCACGTACAT